ATATATTTATTTAATATTATATTATAATTATAAATTTATAATTATACATGATATTATAATTATAATATTATTGATTAATAAAATACTAAAATTATCATTTCTTCCTCTTCAATGCGTCCTGCTATACTTTCCTTGTAAAATTTATAAAGAAGATCCTTGACTTCTTGATGGTTGATACCTGCCTTGATTGCTTAATAAAAGTTGTAAAGATCTGTCATTGGTACTGATGCATCACAATTCAGGGTGTAAGGCTGTAAGCATTTGGGTCCATATGAAATATATTCTAAAGCAATTAAGGAATGGGGACAATATTGTGTCTGGTTTACTTAAATTTATAAAGAAGTTATGCTTGCCTTTGGTACTTTTGTTTTCTTTTATTCGATCTTCCTTTATATATAACCACTCTACACCTGAATTTTTAATTTTCACCTGCATCTTGAGAGAGCAATTAAAGTAAGTTTAGCTTAATTAAAGCTTTGTCTTTCACTAATTCTCCATTTAAACTTACGCAATTTAATTAGTTTAATCTGTTGTATTTAGTACATTGTGTTCTTTAATAGTCTCTACTGTCTACTAAATTAATTTTGTTATCTACTAAATTAATTTTCAAATTGCTAGAGGTATATGTATATATAAATAGATATATATATGAATGCAAGCAATAGCCTAGATTATGATCATTAATTAATTTTCTATAGAGAAAAGAAAAAATTAATGCGTCCTGACAATAAAAATATCAAAACGTGTAATAATATTTACATGAAATATTTGATAAAGTTAAAAATTATATTATACATCACATGTTTAATAATTATAATTACATGATATATTTGATAAAGTTAAAACTTACATTACACTTATATATTTAATAATTATAATTAGATGTTCTAAAATTTTTAATACCAAAACATTATGATTTTCCCTTGTGTCCCTTTTCTATATGGTTTCTTAATTTCCTTTTTTTCAATAACATATTTCATTTTATTCTACGTCATTCTCATGATATATTGTTTGATAGATAATCAACATTATGGTAATGACAAATACTAGTTCTGCAACTATGATTGTTGTCCCTCAACTTCTAAAAAGGGGTAATTATAAGAGTTGGAGCGTTTTCATGGAAGACTATTTGATTTCTCAAGAGCTTTGGGATGGAATTATTGTTCCATTTGGCGCCGATCATCCGCTACTTAGTGAATCTGAGTGGAGAAAAAGGAATGCTGCCGCTCTGAATGCCATTAAGATTTCATGTGGACCAGAAAGCTTTGTTCGTATAAATTATACCCGTTCAGCAAAAGATGCTTTGGATATGTTAGCCAAAATGCATAAAAGGGAGCCTGAAGCTTATGAAAGCACTTCAAAGGCAAGCAATCCCCTGCTTTTTTAGGGTCTTTCAAACTACAATTAATTACTTTGTCATTCTAATATTAATTTGTTGGTATATATGGTTTGATAGATGAATGTCGCAATGGCTGGTGTGATTGTCCCCGAACTTCTAGAAAGAGGCAACTATGAGAGGTGGAGTATCTTCATGAAAAACTACTTAGTTTCGGAACATCTTTGGGTGGTTACTCAGAGTTGGTCCAAGCCTCTTAAAGTTTCTAAAAGGGAGTGGAGAAAAAAGAATGCTGCCGCTCAGCATGCAATTCAGATTTCATGTGGAATGGAAAAATTTAATCACATAAAGAAGTTCCGTCAGGCAAAAGAAGCTTGGTATGAGTTGAAAAGAATAAATATTGATGAAGAGATGTCAAAAATAGATAATTCAGGTTTGCCACTTTTCTATCGATGTGACATCATACATTTAAATTGCATTTGATTTAAATGAATTCGGCAAAAGATGTAGAAATTCATTTGCAAGCAAGTCTATATTCTTTTGCTTGGTATAAACTATTATTATGTGTAGAATTCAATTTCAAATTTTCAAATCATGGAATTATATGGTCAAGGCTAATATAATTCTAATTAATCTGACTTCAGAACATGAAGAAGAAGAGGAAGAAGAAGAAAAAATTCCAAAGGCAAGATTAGCATTTTTTTTCCTTTGTACTTTCCCCTTTTTCTATTGGATGTTTGGTTTTCAAACTGACTGCTTGTCAATCTTATATTAATTTGTTGATATCTATGGTTTTATATAGATTCCTATTGAACCTCTAGAAAGAGGCAACTACCAGATGTGGAGTATCTTTATGGAAAATTACTTAGTTTCTCGAGATCTTTGGGTGGTTACTCAAAGCGAGTGGTCGGAGCATCTTGGAGTTTCTGTAAGGGAGTGGGAAGAAAAGAATGATGTTGCTCTACTTGCAATCAAAACTTCATGCGGAACAAAAAAATTTAATCAGATAAAGAAGATCTATTCTGCAAAAGAAGCTTGGGATAAGTTGAAAATAATAAATATTGAAGAAGAGGAATCAAATATAAATAATTCAGGTTTGCCGTATCTACTCATACGTTTTAGATTGTATTTGGTTTAAATGAATTTTTGTAAAAGACATGAAATTTTATTTGCATGTAATTCTATACTCTTTTGTTTGGTACTATTAAAATGTGTAGAATTCAAATTCAAACTTTTAAATCATAGAATTAGCTAGTTAAAACTAATTTAATTTTAATTAATTACACTTTAGAACATGAAGAAGAAGAAAAAGAAGCAGAAAAAGAAGAAGAAACTCCAAAGGCAAGATTAGCATTTTTTTTTCCTTCTTGCACTTTTCCCTCTCCTTTTTGGAATGTTTGGCTTTTCAAATTGGCTACTTTTTATTCTAATATTAATTTGTTGATATGCATGATTTTATAGATTACTACTGCAAATATGATTGTCCCCGAACTGTTAGAAAAGGAGAACTATGAGAGATGGAGCGTCTGCATGAAAAGCTATTTAATTTCTCAAGGTCTTTGGGATGTAGTACGTCTGCACGGATGGGTACCTAATTCTAGAGTTTCTAAAAGCGAGTGGATTAAGAAGGACGCTGCCGCTCTACATGCAATTCAAATTTCATGTGGAGCAAAAAAATTTGAAGAGATAAAGTACAAAGAGTCCGCCAACGATGCTTGGAGTACCTTGGAGAAAACAGAGAAAGGAGAGAGTTCATCACGTGTTAATGATCAGATTGGTGCAGCAATTCAAGTGACAGGTCTGCCACCTCTTTCTCTCTCTCATCCTTTGTTTTTTGCGGTTATGTTTTTGAGTTGGTTAAAGCCTCATTTGGTCCCCTGTATTTTGAAGAACAGTCTTTTTTTAATGGCAAAAATATGACATAAGGACCCGAACTTACACCAAATTCGTAATTTTGGACCCGAACTTTAATTGCACTCAATGAAGGTCCCGAACTCCGCGAAATTCTCAAATAACGTCCCAATTGGACGAAAAATTAACTTTCGTCAAATCCCTTACAAAACACCGTTAATGCTGTTAAAGCTCCACCGAACTGAAACGCAGCTGGACAAAATTCTGATGACATGTCAATTATTTTGCCATGTGGATGCCATGTGGACATGAATTCTTAACCCCACAAATAATTGGAACCCACTGGTGGGCTTTTGGTCTTTTTGACCAAGGTTTCCCACGAATTAGGGATAAAATCCCTAATTTTCACCTGCTGCTTCATTCTTTGTTCTTGAACCCGAAATCAAATTTGGAAAATTTCTCATTTGGAAAATTTCTGATCTTGGAAAATTTTACCTCCTTGCAATTTCCTACCAATCTTCTGTAGGAGTTGAAGAGATTGAAGACGGAGATGCTTCTGAGTTGTTTGTTTCAAGTGGAAGTCAAAGGGAAACAAGAGGAATGCAACAAGAGTTTAGGCAGATTGGGCCAAGGATTGAAGTTGGAGAAAGCTCAAAACAAGGGAGCAAGAGAAATGGAAGACATGAAGATGGGATCCAGATTTCTGGGAAGAAGAGAACCTCAAAAAAACAGAAAAATTAAGTCTACTGTGTTATTTTGCTTAAGTTTATTGGTATTTTTGTTAGAATGTATTCTGGTCTTTTGTGTTAAGTCTAATGTGTTATTCTGGTCTTTTATTTATGTATAATGTTACTGTGGTATTGCTTCTGAGTTGTTAGAATTTATTCTGTTGCAGTACCAATGTATTCTGATATGTTGCTTAAGTTAAAACTGGTATTTTTGTTAGAATGGATTTTGGTATTTTGTTGAAGTCTATTGTGTAATTTTGCTTAAGCCTACTGTGTAATTTTGCTTAAGTCTACTGGTATTTTTGTTTAAGTCTACTGGTCTTTTATTTATGTATAATGTTACTGTGGTATTACTTCTAAGTTGTTAGAATGTATTCTATTGCAGTACCAATGTATTCTAGTATGTTGCTTAAGTTAAAACTGGTATTTTCATTAGAATGGATTTTGGTTTTTTTGTTTAAGTCTACTGTAGTATTCTATAATGTATTATTTTCTTTTACAATGTATTTTGGTCTTTTGTTAGTTTGATATACTGTAGACTTGCAAAGAATGAGAATATACAAAATAAACACTTTTCATTTCTAGAAACTATCAGTAGGAAATCGGATGTCTATTTCCAGAAACTGTGATTACAGGTGGGATGGCCATTTGGTCATCTTACATTGACAAACCAGAAGCAAAATGACCACTTCCTATTGCACTACACAAAATGGCCATTTGGGCATCTTACTGAGCAAAACAGACAACATAAATTGGCTGTTATCGCACCTCACTTCAACAAAACCAAACAAGCAATGAAAACAACACAACAAAAAAAAGCAGTCCTATAAAAATTCAAACTGAATGAATCTAGCCTTCCATTCTCTTTTATTTTTTCTGGCATTCCTTCTTTGCTGTCCATTCCATAGATACACTTTTCATCTTTTTCTCTTTTAGACACCATTGCTTCCATTTCAACACCTCCATTACTCTCTGCACTAACCAATTCTGCTCTTAACATCTTGTTCTCATTCTCCAAAGCCAAGTTTTCATTGTTAAGCCTGTTAAATACATCCTTGTACCAACTCGATAATTCAGCATCAACCCATTCAAAAAAAATGTAGGCTCTTGCTCCACCACCACCTGGCTACAGTACTAAAAATAAAATTCAAAAGCAAATAAACATGAAATGTGATAATTAATTTCAAGAATAATTACCAAATACTAACCTGCCAAAATGGGCATTTGTAGTACCTTCTTCTTGGGTTTAACTCACTCGTGCTAACGTGAAGCCATGCTGCTAATCCATGATCACAAACTTGTCTAGCACCAGATCGATCCACAGAAGCTCGAAGAGAAGGGGTAGATGCTGAAGATGAAGCCCTAGACTTCATCTTGGTTTCAAGCCAAAAATCGAGGACTTCAAGAATGTTTTGCTCCGCCTCACCTGCACCTCCACCTATGCCCCTGCTTCGGCCATTGAGCTTTGCCTTCACCTCTGCCTCGGCCTTCTCCTCCCCTATTTCAAACAAATATTTCAAGACAAAAATGGGAAAGGATTTCAAGATCGGTAGGCTCTCAAACTCTTCGCGTAATGGCTTCCTTGCACTTCTTCTTGATCTTGGTCATAGCACTACTCTTCACCTCTGCTATTGCGCAATCACCCACACCATCACCGTCTCCTTCTCCAAAGAAGTCACTGCCTCCGTCTCATGCAGCCAGCTTCTGCACCGCCTCCGTTGGAAATGACGACTATTTCACCCACTGCCAAACCGTCTCCATCTCTGTCTTCAATCTCTTCGACTCTTACAGAAGATTGGTAGGAAATTGCAAGGAGGTAAAATTTTCCAAGATCAAAAATTTTCCAGATGAGAAATTTTCCAGATTTGATTTCGGGTTCAAGAAATTTTCCAGATGGGAAACCTTGGTCAAAAAGACCAAAAGCCCACCAGTGGGTTCCAATTATTTGTGGGGTTAAGAATTCATGTCCACATGGCATCCACATGGCAAAATAATTGACATGTCATCAGAATTTGTCCAGCTGTGTTTCAGTTTGGTGGAGCTTTAACGGCGTTAACGGTGTTTGTAAGGAATTTGACCGGAAGTTAATTTTCCGTCCAATTGGGACCTTATTTGAGAATTTCGTGGAGTTTGGGACCTTCATTGAGCGTAATTGAAGTTTGGGTCCAAAATTGTGAATTTGGTGTAAGTTTGGGTCCTTATGTCATATTTTTGCCTTTTTTAATCTGAAAAAAAGTTATTTTTAATCCCTAAAATTTATTTTTTAACTCTTATTAATCCCTACCTGATCTTTTTGAGGTGGCTGGTCAACTAACGGAACAAGTCGATTTTTTTCACAAAGGTTAAATACTTAAATGTCAATTTTGTTTCCTCCATTTAAGGTTTTGTACAATTTTTATCTTTTAATTTTTTTATATTTTTTAATCTTTTAATTACGAAAAATATATTTTTTTAATTTTTCATCAATTAATTCATTAAATCTATTTGAATTTATACATTTTTAATTCTTCAATTTTTAATAGATGCATATTTTTAGTCCTTGAAAGTTGAGATACCAAAAATATACAGATTTAAATAAATTTAATGAATTATATGTTAGAAAACTAAAAAAGTGTATTTTTATAATTAAGGGATCAAAAAAATTAAAGAATGAAAATTATATAAAATTTTAAAGTTAATGGACCAAAATTAACATTTAACATTTCATGAAAAAAGAACGTGGAAATGCCACGTGGGAAAAAATTGATAATGTGATCCAAATTTTTTTTTTCTTCTCCACAAAAAATAACATGAAAATGTAATGCTGAAAAAAATGATGATGTTGATAGAAAAAAGGATTAAACTATTGTAATAATTTTACTAACCCGTTTAATATATAATATTTAATTATTTACTCCTTTAGTTCAAATTTAAGTATTAATATAAATAACAATTTAAATTTTTATTTAATTTTTGTTAATTATTTCTATCTTATAAAAATTTTTTAATTATTATTTGTATAATATATTAAATTTTTATCTAAAAATTATAATTAAAAAATAAGTTAAAATGACTAAAAATAGTAAATTAGTATCAAATTTTAATATTATTTCTAATTACATAAGAAAAGTATTAAACAAACAGAAATTAAGACTCACTCATCCTAACCAATTGATATAATCTATTAAACTCCAACAATTAAGTAAGATAAAAACACTGCAATAATGAAACAATTATCTATTACTATAATCTTAATTAAGGAAAAACAAAAAAAAAAAAAGAAAAGAAATATTACAAAATTCGTGTTCCAATTTTCAATTTTCAACACAAATTTTTGTTCTTTCCGTTCCTCTACAAAATTAAATTTTCACAACAAATTTGTTCTCCTTGTTCCTCAACAAATTTCAATTCTAGATCACATTTGTTCGAATAATCTTTAGCATAGATGCAATGTCGCCTCCCCTCTACGAATTTTGATAGCTACTTAACCATGAAATCCAAGATCAACGGTGTGAAAAACCCTAGATTCAATACACAAGCCAAGAATGGTGAAGCAAAAATGAACAAAAGAAAAAGAAACAACCAAAGAAACCCATATTAGAGTAAGAGAACAAATGAAGAAAATCAGAGAAATAGAAAAGGAGAGGCACGCAAAGAACTCAAGAAACAAAAAATAAATAAATAAATAAATAAATAAATAAATTTAATTCATAGAAGAACTCAAGTTTCTTCTTATCAACCATTTCTTGATTTAGACAAGGAAAAAAAAAAAGGCAATGAAAAGGCAATCTTGAGGATTTGGGTGTTAGAAACCGAGTGAGCAATGGTCAAGTTCTTGAAGCCAAACCCATCCCATAGTCCTTCAAGGTTGCCATCATCTTTCAAGGCCGCCATCGTCCTCGTTGTGCTACTTGCAAGGTCGTCATCATCAAGTCCTTTGACGACAGCATGCGGGATCACTCTTATGGCCATTGCTTAGTTGCCGAGATAAAAGTATCGTAGCAAGGTTATTCGAAAGGACTTCGCTAAGAAAACAACTAAAAAAAAAAAAAAAGGCAATCAAACTAGTAGATCTGGGATGAGGAGATGAAGGGATAGCTGAAGAAAGGTAAGAGCTTTGATAGAGGAGGGGTTAGCTAAGAGGAAATCAATGGATGAAAGGGGGATTAGGTTCAGAAGTAGGGATGGTTAGGGATTAGGGTAAGGAAGATAGAGGACAGAAGTGGGAAAAGAAAAGATAAAGAGAAAATGATGATTTTTTTTTAAAAAAAAAAAATTATAGTGGACCTTACTGATTGCATGGAAATAATTTTATTGGGAATTCATCAATTTTGCAATGTGTAATTACATGTCAGCATTAAAAAAAAAAAAAGAAGAAAAACAAAATATTTAACGAATTATAATGACATGACTTAATTAATGGAGGAAAAAAAGAGTCAAAAAATATTTTAGGGATTAAAAAGAAATTTTTTTAAATATAGAAACTAAAAATAACTTTTTTTCAAAGTACAAGGACTAAAACTACTTTTTAACCCTTTGGATATTACATAGCTTTAGGAAAATTTATGTTCTTATTTGTGAGAAATGCTAAGAACACTCCTTTTAACTTTTTTTTACGTATATTTTTCATGCAATAGGAATTTTTCATAATTTTAAATTTTAAAAATATTAGTTTTAATGTTAATTATTAATCACTAATTACATTAAATTTATTTTTCACATGGCCTAATCACATGAGGAGTATTCAAGAAAGAATATTAGAAAAAGTGTCCCTAGCACTCTTCCTTACTTATATTAGCTTTTAAGAAGGAAATACTCCTTTTATCTTAAAATAAAATGATAGTAATTAGTATACATTTTGATTCAATGCATATATTATATTTATTAAAAAATTATTATTTTTTATCTAAAATTAAAAGCAAACAAAATTAAAAATATAGTCATGCATATAAAATATAAGAACCGATTAAATTAGTTATACTTATATTATATTTTAATAACTTAATTGAAAAGAATATGAGAAAATGTGTTAAACTAAGTGTATACCAATTATTTTCTTAAAATAATACTATAGATTTTTTTTTTCTCCTAATATCAAGGATTTGAAAATAATTTATATTTTTACCTATATTAAGTTAATTTTAATTATTAAAGAGATATCAAAAATAGATAATTTAGGTTTGTCACTTATCTATTGATATTACATCATACGTTTTAAATTGCATTTAAATGAATTTGGTAAAAGATGTGGAATTTCGTTTGTGCGCAATTCTATACTCTTTTGCTTGGAACTATTTTTTTTAATCATGGAATTAGTTAAGGCTAAATTAATTCTAATTAATTTGACTTCAGAGGATGAAGATGAAGACGAAGATGAAGAAGAAGAAACTCCAAAGGCAAGATTAGCAATTTTTTCTTTTTGCTTTTGTGTTCCCCCCTTCTTTGGGGATGTTTGGTTTTCAAACTGACCACTTGTCATTTTGATATTAATTTATTCATATATGTGGTTAGATTAATTTTGCAAGTATGATTGTCCCTGAACTTCTAGCAAGTGACAATTATAAGAGATGGAACATCTGTATGAAAAGCTATTTAGTTTCTCAAGATCTTTGGGATGCTGTTCTACACAGTTGGACGCCAGTTGGAGTTGATACAAAGGAGTGGATTAAAAAGGATGCTGCTGCTCTGCATGCAATTCAGATTTCATGTGAACCAAACAAATTTGATGTAATTGAGGAGATCACTTCCGCCAAAACTGCTTGGGATACCTTGAAGCAAAAACATATAGAAAAGCATCCAGAAGATGGTCCTCCCCCTTCTTTGATTGATTTCTTGAAAGAGCAAGGTTTGCCACCTCTCATTCTCTCTAATCACTGGGTTTTTGCAGTGTGTTTTGGATTCTATAACATTTTTCTTCTATTATTGTCCCCTTAAGTGGCACTTAATGATTTTTTTTTTTTTTTTAATTCTTCGTATTAAAAGTATCTTCAAGGCTATGTTTGGTTAAGGTGGGAAACTTTTCCCATTGCTTTCTCCTTAACTGGATTTTTTAGGGCTAATTTAATATGTTTGGTCAAGGTGGGAACTTGTGTTTGTCTGTTCTCGACCGGACAAATCATTGTACATTTTTTTTATTTTTTAACTTTAATTATTTGTTCTACTCTATTTATTAGATTTAGTTATCCTAATTTAATTTTTATATATAATTTAATTAAATAATTTTATATAGTAAAAAAATAATAGTTAAAATTTTTTATTTAAGTAAAAATACTCAATAAGTAATTTGTATGAAAAGAAGAAAATTTTCAATTATCAATTATTTAATATATAAAATTGTTTAACCAAGTTTTATATAAAAATCAAATTGAGATAATTAAATCTAAGTAAACGGTGTTTAACCTAGAAAAAAGTCTAAAATATGACAATTTCTTGAACAGGGGAGTATTATTAGTCAATTACTCTGTCTTAGATCAAACTTCTTAATTTAAGGTGTTTTAATTTATTTGTTTATTTTTTAAATGTTATTTAATGTTTTTATTTTTAACGTAAATTAAGTAATAAATCTTATTTAAATAATAATTAATTAAAGATAAATATAAAATTTTATCAATTATATATTACATATTTAATATTTTATTAGGAAAACAAACTAATTAAATTTACTAAATTTGAATGGATATGGGGTAAAAAAAATAAAGATAACACTAAATGCTTATCTTTTCATTGCAGAATTAATGCATGTCTTTATTGCATTTTAATACATTTACTAAAATCCTATTAATCTTGACACAAATTAGAAATGAACTCCTATAATATTTTCACCAGAAAGAATGTATTAATTTATTTTTGGCTCTGTGCTATTAAATTAAATGAAACATTACTAAAATACATTTTTTCCAATAAAATACATACATCTCAAATATGGTTTATCATAATATATATTGCCTCAAAATCATTTAAATTTAAAATTTTATTTTATCAGCCAAAAGGAATGAATTTTATTGAGGGACAAGGGGCATTCTCCAACCCTTTTCAATTGAAGTTACTCACATAATATTTGCTTTAATTGAATCCTTGCAGGCTACCAAACTATGGAAAAGCCTCAGTCCCTAATTGTGCAGAATGCAATTGACAAAGGGGATGTTGATGCTGTAATGGACTTTTTTAAGAGAAATCCACCGGCAGAAAATTTGCGATTTTGGACGGGTTACCCTAGTCTTCATTACGCAGCTATAGTTGGCAAGTTAAACATTGTCAAGGCATTGCTTGAGTGTACCCCTGCAGTGGAAAAGGATCCATGGGATAATACAGCTCTAGCATATGCTGCTGAGTTTGGAAACACCGATATTGCAAAATATTTAGTTAGTAAGGATTCTTCTTTGGTTTCTATGGTAAATAGAGATGGAGCTACCCCGGTAGTACAGGCATGCGGACAAGGGCACAAGGAGGTGACAAACTTTCTCTATTCTGAAACCCCATTCGAAATGCTATTATGCAAAAACGGAAAACAAGGATCCGAATTACTTCGTTTGTGTTTTAGTTCCAAAAGATTGGTAAGAGCATGCGAAGTTTAACTACGCAAAATGAAATTTTATACCGTCATTAAACATATAAAATGACAACATTTTTAATATATGATTTTAATATGTGTAGATATCATGTTGGATGTACTTCACCGTGGTCAAAGTTTAATTGATCAAAATTGGAAGAATCTTTTGGGTGGATTCGCCCGAACGCCAACAGCATTCAGCAGTGGAAGTGGGCTAACATTTTGGCAACGATGGATCTATGAGTGTGAGTATCGTTTATTCTTTCGTTTTAATCCTTCCATCGGTCGATCCCAACTTGTCTCTTTTATTTTTTTTTTTCATAAATTTGATTGTTTTGTTGGTAGTCCCATAAAATAAGCAGAAATGTTTTTTTAATAACCAATTATGTATGCTACATGTTAATGCAT